AGATGTGGTTTTAAAAGAAAATTAAGAATTCATATCAAAAAATGCTAAAAGTAGCCTTTTAAGAAAATAAGAAACAAAATTTTTTAAACTTATTAGAATTGTTAGAATTAAGATATAAAATAACATGTTTGGACTTATCATAAGAGAAAGTCTTGGTCCATTACATGACCTCTTTACACTTTATATTTTATCTAAAGACTAATGCTTTCAAATGAGAGGTTTTCCTCACCATACATGGAATTCTAGTAAATTCTTACAAAGCATGTCTCAATAAATTTTATACTTTTAAAAATGTATATTAAAAAAATCATGAAAATAATACACTAAAAATAAATAGATCATGGAGTGAAATTTCTATGCAATCAAAGAAATATTTTTAATTATTATATATATTATGCAATAATTTTGTGAATTTCTACATTAAAAGCACATTCAAAAACATTAACAGTATATATATTTATACACACAATGTCATGCATAAAAACCACACAATTTTATTATTCACTTGTAAACTGTTTGGTTCTACGGTGCTTGGTTAATTGTGAATAAAAATCCATCAAAGCAACCTTTGCTTTTCTTGTGACTGTAATCTCTTGGTGAATGCCTCACAAAATTTTCCATAAAGTTTCCCTTGAAGGGTTTCTTCTTTCTCACCCTCTCTATACATGTAACCAGTGTGTTGAATGGCACCGAATAGAGGAGTTCCAGGAACACTGATACACAAGGCCATGCTGGCAGATGAGTTGGCACCTCACCTGGACTCATCAAGAGCATTGACAACTAATTAGCCGCGGAGAAACGCGCCGTAGCGTCAAGCGGCGGCGGCTGTGGCGGCAGCCGCTCGTCGAGATGGCACCCGTTGCGGAAGAGGAGGGAGGAGGAAGATGAAGGAGAAAGGGTGTTCAGTGGAGGCTCCCCAGTCTCCGATGATCAATGACGCGCTGTCCGTCTGTTAGCCTATCGGTCTGTCAGTCTATCTGTATGTCTGTCTGCAGCTATGGGTGTCTTTAATGTACAGCTCTGGCTGCTTTGAATGAATGCTCCAGTTGCGGGTTCTGCGCTGAAACAGCTTCAGGTCATCGATTTCTGGGCACGTTTCGGTCACCACGCTTGAACTGGTGGAGCTCACCCTGTAGTGGTGGTAGTGGTGGCTGCGGCGGCTTCTCATCAACTGCTCACCACCACCACCCCTCGAGAGCCGTATCCCTCTCTCTCTCTCTCTCTCTCTCTCTCTCTCTCTCCGAAATGGCGCGAAGGCGCACCTCGAGAGTTTGAACTAGTCCCAGACGGTGGTGCCGGCCAGATGCAGGAGAAAAGGGAGCCTCTGCATGATTTTTCCACCCGACTGTCAAGGGAATCACAAATAAGCTGATGTAGTCTTTGACCTATATACCTCCAAGACTTGGTCCATTTCAGGCTCCGATGCATCACACCCATTCTTTCAAAAAGGGGGTGAAAGACAAACATGACCACAACGACGACGACGAAGAAGAAGAAGACTGCACAATCGCACCCTTCGTTCCACTCCAGCAGACAATTGGCACCGAGAACTACCTCGAAGCTAATACTCATCACAGTTATCTACTGAGGAGAGTTGACATCTGTAATGAAAGCTAGATAAGAAACCAAGCCATAGAGGGCGTAGAACAACGATGAAGGATGCTGACGACGACGATGATGATGCCGCTGCTGCAGATCGCAGGATGCCGAAACTTTTGGTGTCGAGCTTTGACGCCTCACACCAGCAACAGGCTTTTCTGTTTGCTGCCGCAGCAAACTCAGTCATTCATGGTCGAAGCCCCACAAATTGGAAGGTCCTACGTGGAATAATCCACGTCAGCGCATACCACGTGTGATATTGGCGCAGGGTCGTAACTCTTCCCGGGAAAATGAAGAGCGGGACAATTGCCACGTCAGATTCCAGTTTGGTTGTGCTAAACACAGCTATTCTTCTCGTTTACTGAACTAGAAACCATGGCTCCACAAACACCTGCATGACATATTATCAACAAAACAGCGTTTAATGACTTGGTGAGCAAATAAGGGAGAAAATGGAAATCAATGGGGTTACGACATTTGTCAGTAGGGAGGGGGGGCAACACTCCGACGTGGAGGGGGACGGCGTGCCAGCTGGAGGGCGTCACCCCTTCTGCTGCGTGCCACGGTGTCACAACCTGTGCATACGTGGCGGGTACTATATGCCACGTTGGTTGACCCCGTTTTCCATCCACCCATGTGATCCAATGCTGGTGACACCCGCTGATGTACTTCGATGGTTACCATTTATTCCAATAATCCGCTATTCGTTGATGCAGAATTGATGGTATCCCCATTGGTTTCTATGAATAATTGTAAAGAGAACATTTAGGAAACGATTTCTCAAAATGTTATTTCAATTACTTATCGTAGTTTAAAATTTTCTTCACAACATTTCATTGTTTTGAAAGAATGTATATATCAATAATAATGATTATAATACTAATAATAGAGTATTAAAAAATTAGATTGTGTAAAATTTATAGTTAATCATATACGTATAATGCTAAGTACATATTCGTACATGTGTTCAGTTACTCCAACCGCATTATTCTGAGTATTATTTAAACGATGCAAACTACTAAAAATGGATCACTTTCCTTTTTCAATTGTTGATGTTTACTCTTGTGTATTTTGCTGTATTGGTGGTGTGTTGCTTTGTGTTTTATTTTTATTCAGACATGTTTCATGTTTCAGCTTTTTTATTTCTTTTTCTTTTCTTTTTCGTTTCATCTTTCTTGTTTTGTAAATGCAGAAGTATATTCTGCCAAATATTTCTATCAAAATTCTGGTTTTTGGTTGTTGCATTTTGTATTAGATACTGGGTATGTTCAAGTAATTGTACAAGTAGCTAACAAGTGCCTGATTTTGGTGATTTCGATGAAAGAATTTTACAAGTATCCCAAACATTTCAATTTCCAATGAATTGTTCTAGATTTCAAACGAAATATGTAATGGAGTGGTGAAAATAAGACCAAAATGGCTTGGAATTATAAACATAACTGTGTACTCTACAGAATAATTTAAATTTTTATACTATATATATATTTGAAATAAATTTATTATTCATTTTTATTTTGCAGAAATAGTCGGAACCAATATAAGATCCAAAACAGCAAAAACATGTTATGTGATTTATGACAATGCCTTGATCTATTACAACACTTTTAAACACACTGATGTGTGTGTGTGTTTTTGTGCATGTGTGCATATATTCACATGTACACATGTTCCTTTTGTTGGTACCACATGCTCCAACTGAAAAAATGATTTTTTTTTATCAAAACAACATAGAACATGATGATTTCCTAAATTTCCTAGTTCTTATTTCCTTTTAAGACATCCCCAGTTGCCCAGCCATAAAGAGGGCATTTTATATAAATAGAGTGCTTGGCTTCAGGGTCCCCTACATAGCAGTTGTTTGAGACAACATTCCCAACTGAAAAGTTTGTGCTTGTTCAGGTGGGGCACATACAGAAGCAAAAATAAAATAATGAGATGGGGCCCAATGGAGCCACTGATGTCATCTTGTACCCTAATCCTTCAACATTTTTGAACATGGCATGCTCAATCGAATGAAAAAAACAATAGAAAATTGATAAGATTAAGAAGAAAATTGAACTACTAATACTTCTAGAGTTGGCTAAGTGTAGGGGAAAAGGTGGAATGAAGTGCATATATATATATATATATATATATATACATATATATGTTATATATATATGTTAATAGCCAATAGTATGCTTCCTTTTGACAAGTTTTGAAGTCATTGTCTGCTGCCCCAGAATATTTATCATTCATCTTGTAGGATGTAGCTGAAGCAAACCCATTTCTCAATTATTCAAATTTATTTTTTCTTAGCTTATTTGTTAAAAATAGTACTATGAAAGTAGAAAGTAATATGCAATAATAATAGTACTAGTGTAATGAAATTTATGTACTGACTATGTTGTGGGAGATGAAAATTGCTCCAGTAGATGGTATTCAATGTGACATATTTGGTTTTGATTAATGCCTCTAACAATATAGAAATAAAAATAGAATTCACTAAAGCTCAATAAAATATGCAAAGCTGGGTTGGTGCTGGCCTGCAAGTAATAGCCACGTTGAGGCTACTACAACAAGCCCTAATATTTGAGCCCTGGTATGGCCCCTCATATTTACCAGATGTCTCTGTTCACACCAGGCTTCTAAATTCAGGGTAAATAGAGGAATGTACATGTGTTGGATGAACGTACCCATGCGGATGGATGGACATGGTTAGGTTGGAATTTGGTTGTTTCATTCCTACTCTCGAATAGAACGTGCTCATATTCAATTTTGCAAGATGTCAATAATGGGAATAAAAAGGTAACCTTAATTATTATTTTAATAGAAAAAGTCAAGATATCAAACCCAATCCACAAAGGACTTGCTATATATATAGCCATATGATTTTTACCATTACTTTTTCACAATCATTGTAGCCAATCATTATTTTTTCTTGACTTGTAATCCTGTAATCCATTTCTAAAATCTCAAGAAGAAAATACTATCTTTTTCAATAATGTCAATACCATATTTTTAAAAATTGAACTAATATTTTATAATCCATTTTTTTCTTCAAAGAAGACCCTCATTATCTAGATTGACTCAATTGGGCACCTTTAGTCTTGTTCAAATCTTAATAATTGATTCTTTGAATTTTGTAAGCTAATATTTGATTTTATGGAACAAAATCTGCATTGGTGTTTTTCAAATGTAGAAATTGTGATGAAACAAGCAACAAAATTCAATAAAATATTACTATTAAAAATATATATATATATATATATATATATATTTCTTGCTAAATATACATTACCTGGAACAGGAGAGCATTTATAATTATTTTAATTGTGTTTAAAAATGAATAAAAACTAAACTGAAATACTTAAAGTGTATTGGTGCTGAGAAACATAGAATCTAGTAAATAAACATATTACTAAATAGAAAAAATTATAATTATCCTTCAAATAAAGGGTATTGTAAAGACTTGGTAACTTGAGTAAGCTTTTTTTGACAAAATTTCCCCTCATTAACCCCCAATTTTAAAAGGAAGCATTTAAACACAAATACTGCAAAATGGGCTTACCATTCTTCATCATGAAAGAAGCTATTTTGCATTCAATCCCATCTCATTTTTATTTTTATCTTTTTCCTCACCCAAGATAATATCAACTTTTAATGCCGTAACTCACATGTTTGTCTATTCCGAACTCTTATAATGAAATCTTTGGCATAGTGCTTTCTCTTCAGAAGACTTTTCCATTGCAAAACAGAACATAGCAATAAGTCAAAGACAAAACATCACACAATCATTGTACAGCTTTTTTAAACAACAAAATATAATAAAATAAAAAGAACCAATACAACTTCACAACAACAAAAAATAAACCTTCTTTTCTTGTTTTTCATGATTCGGTTCATAATTCTCGCGCTCCAGTTTGTTAAATTTTTCATGCCACGTAGACTCAAGACAGAGTATTTACTTAACCTTTTTTGTTTGTTTTTTTGTTTTGTTTTGTTTTTTTTTGGTTTTTGGTATCTTTTGGTGTAGATTGTTGCTAACCTCCCACTGCAGCGATGAGGGAGCAAGTAAGCGAACCTGACATTCCAGAGAGCAAAAAACAGAGCACCGCAAAAAAAGCGTCAGGAAGCCATTGATAGAAGCCTCCAGTGGACACAAATGTGGGCTCGCAAAGCTCCACAGCCATGGTCCAGTCAGCCTCGCAATCTCCCCCTTTTTCTATTGATGCGAACAACCGAACAAACAGCATGTGGCTTGGAAACAAAAAAACGACTACAAGGGGAAAAGGGCACCGGGGGATCTCATCATGCACACAACAAACTTGGTACCGCTGTCGAGAGCAGAGCGCGGCGCTGAATATGAGCCACACTGCATTGTCGCTACCGATCGACGCTTTCGTTTCTGTCCTGATGCAAAGCTCCACACACATACAACAAGAGAGAGCGTGAGCGAGAGAGAGAGAGAGGAAGAGAGAGCGAGACACACGCAGCGAGCGAGAGAGAGAGAGAGCGCGAGAGACACACGCAGAGGGAGCAATAGCAATGATGTTATCAGGAAACGTGTGGGCCCAGAACGGAGCTGGAAACACTCCACCGGGTTTAGAAAATTGACAGGTGACTGACTGCACAGGGAGCGTCATTCGCAGAACCTGGACGAGGGTCGACAGAGCATCCACGCAACCACCAGGAGCCTCCGTTCCAGAGAGGCATGGCCATGATACGGATGGGAATTCCCATTCTTCCATGCAATCAACCTGATCAGGTACCCTCAAATTAAGCAATTACGATCCATTGATCAGCGGCACCCTTCGGTATAGCAGTGGCACCCGTCGCCTAGGGTGCGCCTTTGTGCTGGGAAAGCAAACGGTGCGCTGGGGCTGCTGCTAGATTCAACTTGTGCGTGGGAGAGGCTGCAGGCACTGTAGGCGCATGTAGCTGCGGTGGGGATCACATGGAGGGGAAGTAGGGTGGGGAGGCGTGACGCAGCAGCAGTGATAGCAACAGGACTGGGAACTGGGGCGGGGTTGGACTCGGAGCGGTGCCAGACGAATGGTGGGAGATGATCAGGGAAGCATTGATGGAGGAGAGAGAGAGACAGAGAGACAGAGAGAGACAGAGAGAGATTGACGGTGTGGGTGTGGGGGAGGAGGAGGTGTAAGTAAGCAAGGAAGGAAAGAAGGAGGGGACTAGTAGTAGAGCGCATTGAAGCCACCAGGGCAGACGGCGCACGGATGGGCGTTCCGACGGGGTGGGGGGGTTACGGAAGCGCGGGTGCACGGGAACCCCGCGGGAGGACGACGCCCGCGCCGCGAGGGTCAGGCCCTCGCCTCGGAGGGCCCCGCACGTTGCGCCACGGCGACACCACTAATGCGGCGGTCAAAGGCCGGTTTTTTCAATAGCCTTGACGAGGACCGAGGCGGAATCATGACGCCCCCACCCCCCTCACCCTGCTTGAAACCCACCGTGACGGAGGAGGAGGAAGAAGTGTGAAGCGGGTGCTGAGGGTTCGATGCTTCGGGGAAGAGGGTGCGAGGTGCTAGCTGCAGGAGAGGCTGACAACCGAGGCAGATCGTTCGAAGTTGCTCCAGTGTGCTACGACTGTAGGGGTGCTAGTTGTTGTTCAGGCAGAGCTTGTGAACCGCAATTGTGTCGTAAGCTGTTGTCTCCACTGGCGGAGAGTATAGTAGGTGCACGACGTGTAGATTTGGCCTGAAGCGAGGGGGCGCATCGAAGCTGAGAGAAGCAATTTTGGGGTGGTTGGCTTGCTTGGTGCGGCTTGCGCTGGTCCGAAGACTTTGTGTGCAAGTGATGACGGGTTAGGCTGCCGGTGGGGTTGTGTGCAGTGCGTGGGACTTGTCCTTGTGGACGAACCTCTAGCGCGGGAGTACGGCGTCCTTGCTTCGAGTAAAGAGGGTTCTTTGCGTTGGTTCAGGCTTTTCCGCTTTTAGGTGTCGAAATTTTGTAAGGGCGGTGCCGGGCTTCACGACCCAGGGCCGATCCGTGTTCTGCTGGATCCGTAGCGTGGGTAGTTTGTTTTTCTGGTGGGAGGCTTTTGTGACAGTGGGCGTCTGGTATCTGACAAATGCCTGGTAGGTTTATTACAACTACATGCAGCTCGACTTCTAGCTGGTTACGAGATCGACTGTTGGTTCGTTTTTGTAAGGTTGGCTGTAGTCCCCTGGCAGCTTGTTTCCTTGCGGAAGGTATTGTGGACGCCAGCGCTCGCTGTTCCGCTGTCGGGGTTTCCTGATAGATGTGAGATAGAAAACAAGGCCGTTGGTGCTTGGGGTTTGTAGGAGCATCGGCTATCAATACACACCTGTTTACTGTTTCATCTACTGGGAAGCTAAGGACGTCGAAATCATTCAGGTTTCCCTCTCGTGTCGGAATCCAAGCGCAACATGAGTGAGCAATCCCTCACGTGATATACGCCTTCTCTTTCTCTCTCACCCTCCCCCTCCCATTTACCTTAAAACATTACTGCCTGAAGCTCTCAGTGATCACACTCGGATTCCCACTTTCCCAAATTCCCATAGCAGGGCACGTTGTATCAGAGAATTCTAGCTTACGACAATCCTCTCGAACACTGGGGGGTGCACCATTCATCCTGCGTGATGTAGATCTCGGTGAAATAGGAAAGGAATCGTCTTGGTTTCTATCTCGGAGTCACTCACCCATCATCGGTGGTGGGCCTGGTCAATCTCGAAAGTGACCCGCGTGTTTGGTTGTCTTTTCAAGGAAAACCCCAGTTTGTGCAAAAGCCAAGACGCAAGAAGTAAGTGTTTCCGCAACTTCGTTTGTTGGTGAGCCTGTGAAAAGAGGGTAGTGTTTATGTGAGCACTGCTGTGGTGACAAAGTGTGCAGCGCTGGCGACCCTAACTTCGTATAAAGTGACTCAGATTGATGCACCGTGGGGGATCGTGAGGGGCCATCACGAGAAGCTGTGGGAAGATAGGTACAAGCAGGCGGCGGCGGAGAACTTCGGGCATGTTTGCATGGCCGGGGTGGAGGGTGGAGCAGAGATGGGCTCCCGACCCTCTCCGCCAGGAGGGAACTCCTCAGACGAAGAGCAAAGCGGAAGCAGCGTGCCTGGCCGACCACGTAAACGCAGCAAGGGGAAGAGCAAACCACCACCTGGACCCGGTGAACCTTCTCGTAAACCCCGAGGTCGTCCTCCTGGCTCCAAAAATAAACCTAAACCTCCAGTTATTATCACCAGGGAGAACGGGAATGCCATGAGACCCCACATCCTGGAGGTTGCAAGTGGGCATGATGTTTGGGAGAGCGTTGCAGACTTCGCTCGTCGGCGACAGAGAGGAATTTGCGTCATGGGCGGAAGCGGGACTGTGACGAATGTGACTCTACGGCAATCTACAACGCCCGGGGCGACTGTTACCATCCACGGCCGCTTTGAAATCATCTCGCTCTCTGGGTCGTATTTGCCTCCACCGTCTCCAACTCCTCCAGCAGGGCTTACAACGGGGCTCACAATTTCCTTTGCGGGGGCGTCGGGGCAAGTTTTGGGTGGGTGTGTTGTAGGAGCGTTGATGGCGGCCAGCCCAGTTTTGGTGGTTGCGACGTCGTTCACGGGCGCAACGTATGATCGGCTTCCGCTAGCGGAGGACGAGCCGCCGATGCTGCAAGTGACAGTAGCTTCAGCTGCACCGACAATGCAATCACCGGATTTGTCCTCTTATAACCCATCGACTGCATTACAAAACTTGTATAACATAGTCCCACAGAGCAATCCGAACCTGAACAGCCAGCAGGCAGCGCAATTGGCGACGCCGCAGGATGTTATCAATCCTTGGGCAACTGGTAGTGGGCACACGCAACGGCCCCAACCTTATTGAGTACGAGATTGTACTATATCGCTATGTCCATGATCTTTGTTCTACCGAGTCGGTCACGTGGTTTTGTGGATTGATCACAATTGGAGCTTTTTTTGTCACTCGAGTCAGGTATCAAATATGGTATTTTTAAGGTATGCACGCCCCTCCAAATCTCGAAGCCCCCAGATACCGTCTGCTTAAAATCCAGTGCATAGGACATTTATTCATGGGACCTTTTACATTTCCCCACACCCCCGCCTCCTCCCCCCTCCCCCCACCCCCTAAAAAATTTATGTACATGATAGTGTCGAGCAACCCGTGAGTGACTTGCCACCTATCCTTGAAAATGATGTGAAGCAGCTCTTTTTATTGCACTGATCTTCAGTGGCGATGCTCGCCATCGTATTCCTCACTACTTCCGTGTAATAAGCGGATTCAGTTCATACGATAACAAACAGACAGTATGACAGCCGAGGTTGGCGTTGGTGGGGTCATACTTGATGCCTGTCGATGATCGATAACACCCGTTGGGATCATAATCATAGCTTTCCCTGGATTTTCCTTGAAAATATATCCAGGTTTCATTTAAGAATAAGGCTTGGTAGGTAATAGCAAAGGTCGAGATGGACCATTAGCATTGTAGTACTTTTTATGTCTTGCAAGAGAAACAAACTGAGACGACTTGAGTCCTTGTGGTTATGTCTAAACGCCGCCCGTTCTTTATCACCGTACTTAGGGCCCTAAACCTCTCTTGATCATTTTCACTTGCAGCAATTTTGCTAGTAAGTATAAATTCGACCGTAGATGAGTTGCCCGCAGCATGTTGGGTTCCGGGAACATGAGAACTTGGGTGGTTCATGCAAAACAGTGTCCGGCTGCAGTCCCCTTCTGGGATACCGAGGTCTGATTTATTCAACATTTGTACTGCGAGCTCAGCTCTGCATCAATGCGTAGATGAAATGCATGTTGTAGAGCTGGCCCAACTATCAATTGAAAATCAGGCACTTGATCTGCCAACTTCAAAATTTTACTCTGTTCGTGCCACCGAATCTGCTTATCCTTTCTCTAACACTTTCTAATTTCTGATTCCCTGTTGGTTACTTGTAAAGCTCGTCTGCATTCTAGTTGTCCTCGTCTTATGAAATGTAGTAGCCAACGGGATTTGAATGTGAATGATGCCTTGACGAAGCCGGAGTTGTATGGTTTCGGAGTCTTTCACAAAGTTAGCATTCTTGTTAGTCACCGTTGATGACTTGTGAAGATGTTTTTTTGATTACTTACAGTGCGTCCAAGTGTTTGGTCCCTCTAATGCGGTACAGGGCTTTGCACAAAGTTAAGTACTGAACTTCTGCGACTATTGCTCCATATGTGAAGCAGGTAAGATCTGAAATCAATCTGCAGTACCTTATATGCTTAATGGGGATCACTCCTCAATGATTCATCATAAAACATGCAATGTTTTTTTAATCTGATTAAGGTGTTCGATGTTATGTGTGCGGCTTTCTAGTCTTGAAACTAATTTGTTCCTGCTCTACCATGTCATTGCTACGAAGTATTTAAGTTATTCATAAAGTGTGTCAAGCTTTTATACTTGCAATTCTAAATTACCAGGTCGACTGTACCACATAACATAACTCCCAAAGCTTTCCAAATATTATTACATCTTGCGAAAGTGGTGGTTGCTAATGACAGAGAGGGGATCAGAAAACCTTGCAATAACATTGTAAAGATTAGCGATCATTTTATTTGACCTGAGGCCGCTGATTTTTCTGCAGATAATGAAGTTACAGTCAGCAAATTCTTGATATGTCTTTGGAAGCTTACCGTGCATGCGTCTAGTTGTTGAATTTATATTTAGGTATCAATTCTAGAATTCAACCTGTTTGAGGTAAACGATTTGACTTCTTATTTCTCTTTTTGTTTTATAAAATGAGCAAATTAGCTCAACTTTTTGCTATGTTGTTCAGTGGTCACATATCTTCCCCATGCAGTACTTGTCAGGGTAGGAGTTGTGTTGAAGTGGGTGGTGAATTTTCGTACATTGGACAGCCAAAATCAGCACACTTCAGGAACGTTAAAACAGGAGACTTAAGACTGTCTGGAACTTGAAACAGATCGTGGTATGATTGCGTGTGATTGCTATGTCTATTTAGGGCTTTAATTCCTAAATTTCTGTAGCCACTAATTCCCAAAATTCTACTTTCTACACACAGTGTGCTCAAGGACTGATTATTTTAAGATTTATTTTTGTTGTGAATTATTTATTTACGCTTTGATCTTACAAGCAAAGCTTCGAATCCAATTATCATATTCTTGATGTCGTGGTTTCTCTCACGTGCTTGAGTTGTGCCCAAAACATGAACTAATGCTGGACATCCTTCCTCTTGTATACAGCAGTTCTAGGAGTCCACACATAAAGAGACTAGATTCCTTTTGCCTGCTGATACCTTCAGTTTGAATTGTGCTCAGAACTTCGAAGCTAGTTAATTGCTTAATCTAGTGAAGCCTAATTCAACAGTGCAGGGCAGATGCGTTACAGTTAGAAAATTAAGTGCTGCTAATGGGTAGACGAATAGATGACACCTGCGTGATTCGCACTATACTTACTCATGGTACAGCTTTCATCATGCTTGCGCCGTCGGACACGCATCGCCCCTATTCGAAGCACTGGCACAAAACCGCAACCATTTGCGTGTTATCTATGGTCAACAGCCTAGGTCCAGGATACAGTTGGCGTCGATCTTATCTTATTGATTTCTATGGTTGTTAGAGCATCAGACTTGTCTTTTGCTGTCCGCAATCTGATGACCCCTGAAGTTTGGGACTGGGTGGCCCTCTGAACCTACTTTTACGATCCTCTATTTTTATACAGTACATGGGTCGACGAAGCACCTCTGTCGCACCCAGTAGGCTTTTCAATGTTCGAGTCGAATTCTTTAACACGATAGCGTTGTTTAGTTGGACACGCATTCACATTTCCCTAGCTAGAGTAGAATACTGGTTGCAGGAAATCTGTCGTCACATGTGTGATACGCTTCGTAATGAGCTACGACGCCATTAACTCTGTCAATGGAACTTCCATATTGCTGTGGGCCACTTGTCCCATCAAGTTTAGTTGGTCTGCAGAGCCAATATTCTTAAAAGAGATTGCCACCTTCTGAGAGTCTGCCTGGAATGAGTATCGCACCTGTAATGCGGCTTGTTGATCACATGGCTGCGAACTTCCTCGATGCTTCATAATGAACAGTCGTGAATCGAAACCATTTCTTCAGCGGACGTCTGTGAATCGTCACCACTTGAGAGAAAACTCACGTGCCCGAGTAAAGTCTCTCTGGGGGTCAAATTTCAGAATAAAAGCAAATCATTGCAGTGCTTGATCACTTTGACGCATTGCGTTAGATCGTGAACCATTCTATCCGAATGTCGACGAACATGGTCACTTCAAAGATCAATGAAGTGGCCAGTGAACTGCTAGAGGAACTTGCACAAGTCCGGATCTGTACTTTTTAACCGAAGTCATTAGGGACACAAGTATTCTGTGCCTGGACGAAGATAGGTGTTTGCAACGTTCACCACCATGACATCCTTTAACGCCAGATCGCCCACACCTCTGCCACTGACGTGGCCGGATCGATCCAGACTTCACCCAGGGATGAAAGCGGAGAATCTACCAGAGCTGGTGTCAGTAATGCCTCCGACCAGATTTTCACACAATACGATGCAATCCACACACCGATTTTCTACTTTCCTTGACGACCCGCAACGACCAAGTTTCTACTTTCCTTGACAACGGCATAGGTTTCACCTTTCATCCCCGGGGGTATGAATACCGGCGCATGGTCTTTCACCGAGTGCTTCGCCCCCTCCAGAAACACTCACAGAAATACCAGCTTTTGCGACGCTTGAAAATCAGAAGAACCCAGGTCTCGATGCTTCTCCGTGCTAGAGTCTTGCAACAGGGTCTAGAGCACGAACTTCCAGCTCTGACATTCCGAGAACCTTACGCACCGAACACACTAGAGTTTCAAGTACTGTCGTGAACTGTGGAAACCATTAATGTTGTGGGAAGTACTGGAAGCTCAAAACATGGTTTTCGGTGTCCATCGGGCACTGATCAGGTACTGTCTTAACATGCTTAACTTCCTGGAGAGAGAGCGAGAGCGAGAGCGAGAGAGAGAGAGCACAGTCTTGGTCGCCGCTGCAACGCTTGCTTGCTGTGCAGTGCTTTGCTTTGCTTTTACGTTGCACTTGCTTTCGGTTTGGATTCTGTGGAAGAGTTCTCATTGATGAAGTGGGTTTTGCTCTCACATGCCACTTACATTGTTGCTGCTGCTGTTGTTGTTGTGGTTGTCGTTGTAGTTGAACAACAAGAGAGGCACGTTGGTTTGAATATGCAAAGGCTGTACGTGCGAGCATCTGGCGATCATGGTTGTCATGTCATCTCGTAGAATCAAAATCTGGTACCCACAATTTATTTCGCCGCATGTCTACTTGTCTATCTATCCACAAGATTTCATTTGTTGTTCGATTCACTGTTTGTTTGTTTGTTTTATTGTTCACATGGATATTGTGGGTGTCTATATATATATATATATATATATATCTTTAGTTGCTTTTTCTACAAAACTTTTGACACGTTTTTCATATTCATCACCAGCTTTCTTACTTTAGTTTTAAGGGGATAAATCTCTCTTTATATATGTATATATATATAAAATTCTGTTAGACCTTTGTTATTTTTTTTAATTCTGTAAATAAGATGAATTTTAAGTATTTCATATATATTTATTTCATATTCACTAAATCTTTGAGTCTATTAAAAATTAATGTATATCTCTCTATACATTTATTTCATTTCAATAAATTATCTATTGATTTTATTTTGTAAATATGATATCTTATTTTATTTAGATTTATTATTTTTTAATTTCTTATTTACTTATTCTTTGAATCTATTCCTGAAAGTTTTTATTTTTTATTTTTTATTTTGACATTTAATTATTTTATTAATATTTTGTTAAAAATAGAAATAATTATAAATTAAAAAAATAAAATTATTTTATATTTAATCAAACTATTTTATTAATTATTTTTACATTTTATCAAATCGATTTGATTAATAAAATCAAAAATAAAAATACTAATAAAATTATTGATTGGAATTAAAAAAAAAATGTCAAGTAGGTGGTGAGTTGTGGTGACAATAATAAAAACTATGATCACATTAGTAATATTCTAAATTTTTATAATTTTAAAAAATAGTATTAATTGATTTTATTAAAATTAAGTTAATAAAAATTATAAGAGACATTGCAACATAAGATGCAAACAATAATTGTGATTTGTTAAAGATAAAAAAAAATTAAAAACTATTTTTCTTTGTATTAGAATATATATTTTTAACCAAATTAGTTTTAAAATCTAAATAAAAAATAATTTATTCAAATATATATATATATATATATATATATATATATATATATATACACACACACACACACATTATCATATCTTGAAAACAAAATTAAAAACTACAATTAAACAACAATCAAAAAACAACTACAATTAGAGAATTTCAATTTCATGATTTCAAATTAGTAATCACTTGCTCATAGATTACACAATTAATATTTTACTTCATCCATGATGATATATAATTTAAATCTTATATTATGCATATTTATTATAGAAACTTATTAACCATAGTTTATATGACTTATGTGCAATAACATTTTTAATCTTATTTTACATAAAACATATAATAATAAACAAGACATTAAAATATTATTTTATTTTTACCATATATATATATTACACATGTTTATGCTATTATAAAATATGTAGAATTATCAAAAATAAATTAATTCTTTATCAAATATACAGGTACTTTTAATTATCTTAAATACTCAAAAATAATAGAATATAATTTTTATAAGATTAATTTAAGAATTTTTCATATTTAGATAAAAAAAAATTTAATTTTTTCAAAGAAAAGTGTGACTTTAATAAGAATATAAGTATCAATTATAT